GTTAGAAAAGGTCGACCCTAAAAATGTCACACTCCACTCTACCTCACGGATTTCCGTCTCCTTGGGTAAGGGTGCCCACTGAGGGCTTTCAAGAGCGGAGCTAACACTCAAAAAACTTCTCATCAAAAGGCTGTGCGTGACCGGCCTCAAGCAGTTGTCCCTTGGGCTCTGCGGTCACGCTCCCAGGTCGTTAAGACCAACGCTAATCTACCTTCCTTTTCAGGTTCCTCAAGAAACAACCTTCCACGGTGTGGGCAGTCGGGAAGTGACAACCGCCCTCATACCTGTAACAATACACGAGACCGAATTGGTCGAAATCAACTCTTTCCTACACCCTCTAGTACCTCTTTTATCTCCACTCCTTACTCTACTCACATTCCTTTATCACACTGCACAGCTAATGCAAACAATGCGAGTTCACGAAACGTCATACAATAATAATAGTTAATTAAAATGTAACGAATTCTATTGAATTTCAAAATCTTGAAAAATGTCAATAATAAATTCATCCGTTCCATTGCAATCAATTTTTAATTCATAGTGACTCTCGCTTACTTTTCTTTACTTACGCCTGTTACTCCCAATGAAGCATAGGCAGCCGACCAGCATTCTTCAACCTACTCTATCCTGTGCTTCCCTTTCCAGTTACGTCTAATGTTCATTTATTCTTCTCATATCTTTCTCCTATTCTCGGCCTAATAGGTTTTCCAGTCTTCATGTTTCCCTTTGTCCTTGAGGGTTCCAAGTGAGGGCTTGTCTTGTGATGCAGTCGGGTTCTTTCCTCAATGTGTGTCCTATCCACTTCTTCTACTGGAATCTGGTAGGTTGTTACTGATAGTGTCTGGCCAGCGGATCCAATTTATTTTGAGTAGACAACCGTTAATAAACACGTGTATCTTGTGGTTGATGGCTTTAGTGGTCCTCGAACTTTCCGCCACATACAGTAGAACTATCTTGATATTTGTATTGAAATGTTAGCTGATAGTTGTTTTGAGTTTCCGATGTTTCTCAATTAAAGTAGTGCTTCCCTTGCTTTCCCAATCAGCCCCTTCATATCTGCATCGGATCCACCTTGATTGTCGATGATGCTGCCAAGATATGGTAAAGGCTTTTACATCTTCCAACGCTTTTCCATTAAGTGTGATTCGGTTGGTGCATGTTGTGTTGTATCGGAAACTCTTTTCCCTTCTGTTGTTTTTTGAGACCTAGTGCTGTTGAAGCTCCTGTTACACTGGTTATCTTCACCTGCATTTGTTGTTTTGTGTGTGATGACAAGAAAGTCAGATCATCCATCTGCTACATTCTAGCTGTCCATTGTATCCCGTGCTTCCTCCCACCAGATATTAACGTCTTCAATGATGACCTTTAGTTTGTGGGCTAATGAGAAAGTTCTCTCATCTCCTTTTACATACAGTACTGTCAAACATTCAATAATCTAATGGATGGATATTGATGCCCGATATCTTATTAAATTCTGCTTTTGTTGTTGTTGCCGCCGTTATCTTGATACGGATAATTGCTCTATATTATAATCCATCAAAATTTCTCAAACATTTCAAATGCAATTGATTTTATGACTAGTCGGGTAAATTGGTCAGCTCCAATGTAGGACATCGTACATACTTACATCAGTTTAAGTTGCCGTACCATATAAGCACACACGCAGATCGAATTGTCAACTTCAATCCTATAGCAGTAGAGGTAGTAGAAGTATTGGCGGTAATCAAGAAGATTAGGATTCGAAGATATGGTTTGAAAAGTACAATTCAGTGAGATAAATTTAGAAAGAGAAAGACAAAGGTGATGAGTAATTCAGAAGATTACAGTTTAAGCGAAGAAAAAGAATGAGTGCACCTACGCTATTGCAAACGATTCTGAGCCATGTCGTTCAAGATCTCTAACGATTGGTGACTTTCGTCTCGCGGACCCCAACCAGATAGCCTACATCTACCAACATGACTCAGTTCACTTGTCAGTGACTTCATGGATTTGTACTATGTTTTCGTCTGGCCGCCCCTACCTTTCTTCCAACCTATTCCTACACCACAAAACAAAGCTTATCGAGACAGTCGGTGGTTGGGCATTCATAACACATGTCGCAACCACTTCAACTGATGAAGTTTCAATACTCCATCAAGTGATCTGCCAACCTTACCTAGTACTCGCTTCCTAACGACAGCATTACTTACTCGACTGTCCCATGATACATGAGCAATACTTCAAAGATACCGGTGATCGAAAGCAAGCAATCTGCGAATACCCTCTACTCTGACTGGCCATGTATTCACAGCCATAAAGTAGGACGGAGTGAACTGCTGCCCAGTAGACTCATCCTTTAGTTAGCAAACGGATATCTCGCCTACGCCATAAGTGACGTACGTTCGAAGTTCTACATTCTAGTTGGCTGACTAATTGACTCGCCTCGTTTCCTGTTTTCTTCAATATATTATCATATTCATTTGAAATTCTTGTTTACTAGTAGTAGTAGTGACAAGTTCTATTTCTTTTTTACTCTTTTTAGCATTTCAAAAATTCAATCGAATAAATTAAAATCTGATGCATCCATTTCATCAGCATCATTTTTATCTACAACACAATTGAATTTATATCTTAGTGCATGTAAACTGTTAGCTACTAGTTTATTATATCCAGAATGTAAAATGCCACAATTCACTTAGTAAGTCGTCATATTGTAATAAAATTCTAATTTGTGTATTATTCCATTGTATGAGAATGTTATTGTTTTTCAATTAACGTTATGAAGATTAGTGTTTTTTTCACATTGAATTATGGTTAGACCACCATTAGAAACCTGAAAGCCACTGAAAGACGGCTGTTTCGTCCGTGTACGGGACTCATCAGCAATGTGCAGGATTTGAACCTAGAACCTTCGGCCTTGTGCGTGAACGCCACTGGGCCGGCATCCAACGGTGTTAATGTCTAATAGCTCTGATTGATCTAGAGATTTTGCACTACCTTACCCATTTGTCTTTGGTAGTTACTGCCAACAGCCTACAGGGTTCAACTCCACTGGACACGTTTTCTAATTAGAACTCGGAGAATTTCCTTATGAAGCTAGTCCCTAGTGAGCATATTTTAAGATGTTCTCAATTGGAGTTACGGAGATCAGTGTTTTTACACATCTAAATCATCAAGGAATGCGCACTGCTGATGAGTCGCGTACCGCGATAAAACAGCCGTCCAGTGCTTTAAGGTTTCTAATGGTGGTCTAACAGTAGTTGATTGATGATTTCAATGTGTAAGAATATCATTATACTTTTTTACAAAAAATTTCTATTGAGAAGATGTAACTAGTGGAGGAGCTTAAATCTGTCGAGTGTTTAGCAGTTAGTTACCTACCGAAGACTGAGTGAGGTTGCTCAAAATTCCTTAGATGATTGATCAGAGTTATTAGATACTAACACTGTCGGATGCCGCCGACCCAAGTGATTTAGAGATAAGGCGTTCGTGCGTGAGAGTGTGAGGCTCCTGTATGCTCACAGTTGATGAGTAGTCTCATACTAGCAGGATGAAACGGCCGTCCATTACTTCCAACTTTCTAATTGTGCTCTAACAATGATTTATTCATTCCTGATTTTAATGATTAAAAAAATATTATTACTTAAGCCTCATTTGCACAGGAATCTATCGTGTACGAATAAACCCGACCGTAGCTGCTACCTTGACGTGGTGGTCGGGCTTGCCTATCGTGATGACCCAACCGAGCTATACTGGCTGAAACATATGTTCCTGAAGGTTCTACCATGCCAGGCAGGTCGATTGGAGAACGATGAGACTAAAAGCAGCTACCCAAGATCTGAGGGCGAAGTCGTACTGCTCACTGCAGAAGGGAGTGATAGCAGTAAGGTGTTTCCCTCAGACAACCAACATGTGCAGCGATGCTGCCTTCTCACAAGGAAGGAAGGGTTAGAAAAGGTCGACACTAAAAATGTCATACCTCACGGATTTCCGTCTCCTTGGGTAAGGGTGCCCACTAAGGGCTTTCAAGAGTGGAGCTAATACTAAAAAAACCTTTCATCGAAAGGCCGTGCTTGACCGGCCTCAAGCAGTTGTCTCTTTGTCTCTGCAGTCACGCTCCCAGGTCTCTAAGACCAACACTAATCTATCTTCCTTTTCAGGTCCCTCAAGAAACAACCTTCCACGGTGTGGGCAGTCGGGAAGTGACAACCGCCCTCATACCTGTAACAACACACGAGACCGAATTGGTCGAAATCAACTCTTTCCTACACCCTCTAGTACCTCTTTTATCTCCACTACTAACTCTTCTCACATACGAATAAAAAAAATGCACATAGTAGTTCTTCGGATGTTTATGTTTTTACCTTTACCAATGATACATTATGAACAGCAACTTAGGTTGATTGTACACACTGTATTGTGTGATCATATGATACAGGTTAGAGTGATTCATATTCTTTTACGAAATACTCATTATTGACGTACATCAGTGCAGAAAGATTATTTTCTATGCTTACTACGTTACCGATGGATGAAATGTATATATAACCATCGACATAATAACAAGGGCAAACTTAGAGGAAGAAGCTTAGAGTCAACCATGACCGTAGCTGTTATCACCTTAACGTGTTGGTCGGACTTGTCTGTCTTGATGACCCAATCGAACTATATTAGCTTGGAACATATGTTCTCCTGTAAGTTGTACCAGGCTCTGTGGTCATGCTGCCTGATCTCTAAGACTAACACTAATCCAACTTCTTCCTTAGGTTTCTCAAGTAACACCCTTCCATGATATGGGCAGCTGGGAAATAACATCCGTCCTCATACTCGTAAAAGCACACAAGACCGAACTAGTCAGTGTTAATACCCCCCATACTTTTTAATAACTGTGACTGAAAGTCAGTAGAAGGAATATATGTATGTATAACTGACAAGGAATCCCTGAAATGAACGGATGAGAACAAGCACAAGTCACAAACAAACACACGAAAATAGAGAAATAACGAACCCATGACGGTTTATTATCGTTCCAGGTGGGAAACACAAACAATGTAAAAATAAATGATCATCCACAGATATACAGTATTATTGTTTTAGGTAAAAAAAAATGCTTCAAAATAGTATTCACATAGAAATGATTTAGATTGACTTATTGATTTACCAATAAAATAATGATTGAAATTATCAGTTAGTCGTTTTTAACTGACTTTACGAACAATTTGTTCACTATTCAATAAAAACATTGTATTCAACATTCATGTGTGTTCATATTACATAGTTCTGTCTAGCTTTTAAATATTCTTCTTAATTCCAGTTATCAATGGGCATTTGTCAAAGATATCACCTTTGATAATTTAACTAATCAAGATGAAACGACAAATTGTACTGTATTAATGAACAATAATAATAAAACAACATCATTTCTTCCATTCCTTTCTGATGTTCTTACAAGCATTGATGTAAGTTTTTGATGTAATTCATATACAGTTAATTTGTTGTGGAAAATGTTTCGATGAATGTCTGTCTGTTAGTTAAAATGTTGTACATAATCATTGATAAGCAAAGATGGATGGTGGCTGGTAACAATCGAATCTAAGACTTGTAATCAGCTGGGCATACGTGCATCCTAAAGTTGATGTCGCCAATTCCACTCAGTCAGTCAGTCAGTCAACCAAGCCAGCTACAACGTAGAACTTGACATACGTATGTACATCAGTCAAAGTTGTCATACCACATTATCACTGACACATTGAATTGTCAAGGCCAAAGCACATAGTGGTTGAGATAGTAGAAGTGTATTAATGGCAATGGATTAGATTTGGGGTTCGAAGGAAATGATTGAAGAAGTATAATCCTGTGAAATGAATTTTAAATGAGAAAAGGAACGGTCATGTGGAATTCAGTTGCTTAAAGTTTGAGGGAAGACAAATAATGATGGATACATCTGCACCATTGCAAACAATTTTGAGTCATGTTGTTCAAGGTCTCTAACCATTGATGACTTACTTTTCGTGAACCCCAATGATTGAAACCAGTCGGATGGGATTACATCCAGTTCTCAGATTCTACCTAAGATCTCAGTCAATCTGCCTGTTGAAACTGGACCACCATCCTTAAACATCTCAGGGGTAAATCTATCAGGTCCTGCTACTCTCCCTAGCTTCAAATTTCCTATAGCCTTTTCAGTTTCATAAAGATTCGAAGGGCTTAGGTTAACTTGTTATCCAGGATGACTGGAGATCGTAGGCAACCGAAGTTTGTCTGAAGGCCAGTTGATTTGATCCCTAAAGTGTTCTGCCCGTCGATCCAATCTCCTTGATTGAGAATGAATGATACAGCCATCGTTCTCCGAGATAGTCTCATTCACATTCAGATTCCTAAAACCGGTTTCCTTGATAAGGCGGAACAACTGTCTTCTGTTGCCTATAAATACAAATGTAAATTAACTGACCTATCAACTGATCACGCTTGTTTTGAATTCTGGTTTCAATATTCATTTACTTTACTTTCATTAGCGCCTTCTTTTTCTTAAGCAATGGTGTCGCTCACTAAACCCCCCAACCATGCCCAACCTTCCTCGCCTTTATCTCCAGGCTTGCGACCGGAAGTAGTAGTGGTAGTAGCCTGTGAGGTGCTCCAGTCAGTCAGATGCAACGTAGAACTTCGTACGTACGTAAGTACATCAGTTCATGTTGCCATACCACATCAGCACAGAGATGTAATTGTCAATTCAAATCCAATAGTAGAAGAGTTAGTAAGGGTATTAGAAGTAATCGGAGAGGTTAGGATGAGAGGATATTATTCAAGAAGTGTGATGAGAAAAGTTTAGAAAGTCAAAACTAGAGGTGTTGAAGAATCCAGAAGATTAGGATTTGAGAGAACACAGATAATAAATGCACCAGCGCCATTGCAAACGATTCTGAGCCATGTCATTCAGGGTCTTTAACCATTGATGACTTTCGTCTTGCGGACCCCAACCAGGTAGCCCACATCTACCAACATGACTCAGTCCACTTGTCAATGACTTCATGGATTTCTGCCATGTTTTGGTTTGACCGCCCCTAACTTTCTTCCAACCTACTCCTACACTGCAAAACATAGCTCGTCGAGGCAGTCGGTGGTTAGGCATACGTAACATATATCCCAACCACCTCAACTGATGCAGTTTCACTATTTCATCGATTGATCTGCCATTCTTACCTAGTACCCGTTTCCTAATAACAGCGTTGCTCACTCGTGTGTCCCACGATACTCGAGCAATGCTTCGAAGACATCTATGATCGAAAACCAATAACCTACGAATATCTTCTACTCTCACTGGCCATGTTTCACAGTCATAAAGTAAGACGGAGCGACCAGTGCTGCACAGTACACTTGTCTTTTAATCAGCAAACAGATATCTCGCCTACACTATATGATTGACGCAGGTTGGCGAAAGCCAATCGAGCCTTTTTTGTATCCAAGATGAGATTTCGTCAGTCACCAGGAGACCATCGGCACTGATGATGGAATTGATGCTCATTAACTTTATCTGCTTTTTTTTTTCTTCATTTATTTATTTTATAGAAATTACAAGAAATTGACATGATATTGAATAGTGGTGGTGGTGGTGGTTGCGGTAGTAGTATTGACACACTGTCAATGGAAACAATATCAACTTCACTGCATCAAAGTTGTTACAATCTATTGGCATTAGATAAACTTGTCAATATATTCACATTGAAACCATTTATTGAAAGGTAAATTTGATTTTTTTCGTTCTACTGTTGATCATTTGAGTTGGTGGTTTAGATTAATCATAAGAAACTTTTTAAGCTTTTACTCTCCTCTATTATCAGTCAGTCAGTCCGTCAGTCAACAATGTAGAACATTCTACGTACATACAACATGAATTCCAAGTGCCAGAGTACATTTTGCTCAAAGAGAGATGGAAATTGTCAAGTTGAATTCCAATTTTAGGTAGAGGTAATCAGAAGTATTCGCCGGGTGGGGAGAAGATTGGGCTTTCGGATATACTCTATTCAACAAGTATAATTCAAGTGATCTAAATTTGAGAAGAGAAAGATAAAGGTCATTAGGAATTCATAAGATTAGAATGTGATTGAACACAAAAGATGCGATTATTACCCCCGTCGATATGGCAAATGTTGCTTCAGGATTGGTTTGCGTCTGCACTTGAACTAGTGATAGGTAGTGAGGCAGAAATATAAGAAGGATTTAATTTTGACCAATTTGGTCTCTTGTGCTGTTACGGGTATGAGGGTGGATGTCACTTTCTGGCTGCCCACATCTTGGAAAGATGTTTTAGTAAGGAACCTGAAAAAGATATCGGATTAGCGTTGATTTTGGTTAACTGGGGGCGTGACCTCAGAGTTCAAGGGACAAACGTTTGAGGCCTGTCACGCACAGCTTCTTCATGGGTTATTTTTGAAGTTTTAACTCTGCTGTTCAAAAAACCTTACCTTTGGAGATGGGAATCCGTGGGCTGTTGCAAGGTATGACATTTTTTAGACTCGATAGCATTGATGCAGATGCTGGTTGTTCGAGGGACACACCTTACTGCTATCACATCCCTCTACAGTTAGCAGTACGACTTTGCTCTCAGACCTTAAGTTGCTACTTTTACTGTTACCGTTCATCAATCAACCTTCCCAGCATGATAATAACTTATGTTCCAGCCAATATATAACTCGATTGAGTGATTACGATAGGCTGGCCTGACCATCACATCAAGATAGCAGCTATAGTTCGATTTCTGAATTCAACTTCATTTGGGTGTTCAGTTTTTACACAAGAATACTTTTCGTTTGATAATAGCATGAATATTACTGTGTTTTATACTGTTCTTCTTTAGTCTAAATCACAATGCATCGCTTGGTTCAACACGAAAATCGTTCAATGCTGATGATGATGATGATGATGTCCAGTTACTTGATGGTTTCTTGCTTGAATTAGCTATAGAAGCATCTTTAGCTCAAGAATTCCCTGAAACTATTGCATCTAGATGATGAATCTTTTATTTTCAACCAGTTTTCTCAAACTTCTTAGATGCATTCACCAGTCAGTCAGATTTGTTTATCGTCTCCTAACTGATTTGCCGCCTACCTCGCGCTTATCTTAAAGAAATAAATTAATCATCTGGAAATATTTGTGTAATCTGTTTTTTTAACTTACTTATTTACTTACTTACTTAGTTGATTTACTGAAAAAAACACATGACTAAAATTCAAAATTATGCATCTAAATTGTCTTTCGAATACATTTTGTGTTAATGTTAATGTGTGTGTGAAATTTTTTCTATTTGTTTATACACAAAAATGTAGGAAAATTGTGTATTGTTGACTTTTCTCTCTCTCTCTCTCTCTCAGTGTGTATGTTGTCTGTGTTTTTCATTTAATACAACTGAACTGTGTTTATCATTGAAATTCGTTTATTTTCAAAACATCAATCTTTAGGCAATGATATTTCATTATAATTTTTATGTCTGTGTGGCTATCGTCCTCTCTCTCTCTCTGTGTGTGTGTGTGTGCCTCTCTCTCTTCATTCATCGATATAAATGTTGGCTTTTGTCTTTAGCCTTTGTTTTTCTTGTTTTACTATTGTTATCAGTGTGGCCACTCTTTCGCACATATCATACATAACAGAGTTTTTAACAGTTCATCCATGAATATTATCTGTTCTATTGCTGTCGTATAACACTGCTCACTGTTGATGATGATGATGACACGAGAATAGGTTAGATAATTGAGAAAAAGAAATTCACAAATCACTGCAAAACCCATTAGAAGATATAAGTCCATTGTGTCCAGTCCTTACCTTCATTCCATTTGATTTTATAAAAAAAAAAAAATAGTATAAACATTTTTTTTTCTTTCATATTTTCAATTCATTTTAAATTGTGTTTTTGTTGTGTTATTTACTTTTCTTCTTATTCTTATTGTATATGATGATTAGATGATGATATTTTATTGTAAAAGCAATAAATTTATTTTTTCCTAAAAAATAAGAACAAACTTATATGTTTTCTTAAAAAATTTCATTCTGTAAACCAAGAGATATCTAATAATTAATTGATAAAAAACAACCAAACGATAATTGCATGAACATAAACTATAGGCAGAAATTACACATACCCATAACATCTCATCGAAAAGTATGAAATATGAAATGCTGACGACTAATATTTCATTTTTGTATAAATTGAATACAAAAGTTCTATACCGCCTAAACGCAAAAGATCGATAGAGTTTCAGTGCCGTCGTAGTGTTCTTCGCAGGATGTGTGTGTGTTTAGGCAAACACGTGCGGAGTGATTAGCTGTCTGCGATAT